TGGGGCCTCTGCCCTCCATGGCCCTGTGCTCGGAGCTCAGCAACTGTCCCCTGAGCGTGTGCCTGGGGGCCGGGTCTCCTACCTGCTCCTCTGGGAGGAAACTCTGGCCCGGCCTCAGTTTCCCCAGCAGCAACCCCCATCAGGTCGGGCTTTCGTGCAATGAGGTGAGACTCCTGCCTCGTGCAAGGTGGGCTCCCTGGACCCAGGGGGTCTCCAGGGCAAGGGTCGCCCCTCCTGATGAAAAGTCCCAGATCACAATGTTTCTGGACCCTCTTGTCCCCACAGGAGACCCCAGATTGGGGGCACAGCTGCAGGGTCGGGGCGGGCAGGGAGCTGGGAGGGATCCCCAGGGTGGCACTCTTGGTCCTCGCCCCCAGCCCCCGCTGCTCCCCGGGCAGTGTCTTCGTTTCCTTGGGACGGCCGTCCCTGGCGGAGGCCAGCTCCCTGGCTCCCTGGAGAGGGGGCTGCCAGACACCCCTGGGGCGGGGGCCGGCCTCCGCCCTCCGTCCCCACCCAGCAGCCTCCGCCCTCCAGCCCCATCCTTCCAGCTGTGCCCGGCCCTGTGTGTGAACATGCGCACCCACACCGATCTGGGGAGACCTCGGTGAGCGCCGTCGGCTGACAGGCAGCGGACACAGCTGCCTGTGACCCGGTTGAGGAGCGCTGGGTGCCGTGGGGACAGGCCTGGGTGCCCTGGGGACGAGCGCGGTGCACAGGCTGCCCACGCAGGGGGCGGGTCTGACCCCGTTGCCCCCAGCCAGCGTCATGCTCCCAGCCGGCGGGGGCCCCCGGGTGCAGGTGTGCGGAGCGGGCGGGCGGGGTGGCCTGTGGGGGCCGCCTGCCCTGGTCCTGGTGGCGGGAGTCGGGGGCACCGTCCCGCTCCAGGGACACAGCGAGGACCCGCCGGCCCGGCCCCTCCCAGAGCTGCTGCCCACCCACCGCCTGGCCTGGGGGGCCGGCCCGGCGCACACCCGCTGCCTGCCGGTCCCCGCCGGGGAGGCCACCCGCTGGCTCCTCGCCCCGACCGCGAGCTGCAGGCCCTCCCGGGTCGGGCGCGGGGGCCCTGCACGCACATGCAGGCCCACGTGGGCGCCGCGGGCCGGGCGTGTCCCGATCAGCCCGCTCTCCGGGGAGTTCTCGCTGAAAACAAAACAAACCGAAAAAGCCCTGGTTTTGCCTGGGTCCCCGCCTGCTGCCAAGTGGGTACCGCCCGGGGCTCCCAGGGGCACTGGCTCCGCAGGACCCCCCGCCCCGTCCCGGGCTCTCATTGCCCTGTCGGGCCTCTGCCCGCGGTCCGGCCCAGCTTCAGTCTCCAGTCCAGCCGGGGCCGGCCTGGCAGAGCCCCCAGCCGCTCGGGAGGAACGGCAGGGCGCCCCCTGTGGGCAGGGGCGGGAGGGAGAAGCCGTCACGCTGCCCAACGTGGGCTCCCTGCTGCGCTCGGAGTGGGGGCACTCAGACGGGCAGGACGGGGATCTGTGCCGCCTCCGGGGGTGCAGGCAGAGGCCCCCTCGGGGAAGCAGGCCCGCAGAGGGAGCAGCGGCCCCCCGGACGGTCCTCCTCAGGGTGCCGTCCCAGGCTCCCCCCGGGCACCGGGACCACAGAGCACCACTGCCGAGCCCTCCACGGGGGGCACCGTGCACGGCGCTTTCGGCCGTCTCTCTCCGGGCCTGCCGGCCGCGGGGAGCCCGCTGCCTCCCGCTGTGGGGGCCGCCGGGCGCAGGGATACCATCTGCCTCTCGGTGCGGTGACTAATGCCCTGGCAGCGCCGAAGAGGGTGAAGAATGCGGACAAGTCAAAATCTGAACGGCGCTGTCGCGAGGCCGCCTCCCGGCTTCTTCTGAACAGAGAGTGGTGGGGGCCGGGCAGGGGGGGGCAGGCAGACCCGGAGCCCCCCGCTGGGCCGCCCCCCTCGGGGGTGCGTCCGAGGTCAGGACGCAGGAAGGCCCCCTGCCCGAAGCTCTCGGGCAGCCCAGGGCCCCACCCGGCAGGGGCTCGGCTGTGCCCTGGGAGACAGACTCCGGGGGCGGGAGGGGCCAGGTGGTGGGCAGGCTGGGACCCCGGCCCCCACCACTGCAGCACCCACCAGGCTCTCCGCCTGTTGGGGTGGGCGGGGCCAGCACACAGCCGGTGCTCGGCCCAGGGGACCTCACGCAGGGGAGCGGTCCTGTGGGCTCGCACCCACCCTCACGGTTCTGTCGGTCCTTCCTCCCCCGGCCGGACCGCGCGCTCCGCAGGCCCCTGCACTGGCGCACAGTAGGGGGCAAGGTTTACTGTTGACCCTCCCACGGGGGGCCAACAACAACAGTGACAACGCGGGGCCTGCGGGCACCGACGGGGGCCCTGCCCAGCCCGTCCAGGGGGACGGGGTCGGAGCCTCGTGGCTGGTCCTGCGTGTCCTGCAGCCGAGTTGAAACCGGGGGAGGGAGACAGGTGGAGAGAGTTCACCTGGTGCGTCCCGACCTGTGCTCGGTGGAGTGCGGAGCCGGGACGACACGGTGAACGGGGGCCTGCGTTTTCCGTCCTTGTCGTGGACCGAGGCCTGGAACCGGGGCACCCCCGCCCCCCGCATAGCTCCATCCACACAGGCCCTGTTCAACAGTCCATGCGGCCGGCCCACGGCTGCCACACGGGATGGTCCCAGCGTGGGGCAGGTCGGAGCTAGCCCTGCCCTCGTGGGGCCCGCAGCCCCCCACAGAAGCGGCACGTGGGGCCCCCCTGCATCTTCCGGTGGGGCGCGTGGTGCCCGTGCCAGCCGCCGGGACGGGACGGGGGGGGGGATCGTCCCTCCACCCAGCGTGGAGCAGCTCCACGGCGTCACGGTTTATGTTACGTCACACGCACACACCTCGCCTGTTCCACGTGCAGACTCGGGGGTTTGCGGTTCGCTCCCGGATCTGCGTGCCCGCCCCGGCGTCCGTTTCAGACCATGTCCGCACCCCCAAAGGAACCCCTGCACCCCACGGCCGTCAGCCCCAGCCCCCCAGCCCCCGGCCACCAGCCGACCGCGCCCAGCTCTGCGGTCCTGCCCTCCCGGGCCCCGGGGCCCCGAGCAGTGCCCCAGCGACGGCGGACGGCCGGCTTCCTCCGCCGGACGGGCTCCGCGGGTGCCCAGACCTCAGTCCGGTCGCTCGCCGGTGTTCACGGCGAGGGAGGGTGCTCCATCCACGCCCGCCGTACTCCGTCCATTCGCCCGTTGGGGGGTGCGCCCCCACCCCGTTCTCCAGGCGAAGGCGCAGGAAGCCGGGAGGGCCTGGGGGGGGGGCCGCCGCACCGAGGTCCCCATCCCCGCTGGTGGACGGGTCCCCGGGTTCACGGCGCCGAGATCCACGCCGGGAGGCGGTGGGCCGCCGGGGGGGCTGGGTCCTCGGAGGGAAGCACCTGCCTGGTCTCCCGGGGCACGGGGGTCGGGGCCCCGGGGAGAACCTGGCACCTGGCACCTCCCTCCCCCCTTGGCACCCCCCGGGTTTCCTCTGGGCTGGGGCGGCTTCGGCGGAGCATTTTCCTGCTGAAAACCTCCCTCCCCAGGCCAGGGGTGGGTGTGGGGCTCCGAGGACCTTGTCAGGGACACCCCGGGACGTGTGGCCTCGGTGTGCTGGGCTGCGGGGGCTCAGGGCAGGAAGCCCGGGCCCCCTTGGATGGAGAAAAGGCAGGGGTGCAGAGAGGGCGGAGCCCCGGCTGGGAGAGGCGGGAGAGGCAGTCCTCTGTGTTTGCGGGAGGCAGGGGGGTGCTGCCCTCTCTGAAGAGGGGTGTGGGGCAAAGGGGTCCCCGCTCCCGCTGCCCAGTCTGCCCCTGCCCCCGCCATGGGGACCCCAGGCTGGGCGCCCGCCACACTAAAGCCCCCCCAACTGCACCACCTCCGTGGGCCCCGAGGTGCCGGCTCACCACCCCGTGGATGGCTGGTCCCCCGGGTTGTCCCCCAGGGCTCCCACATCGCCCCGGGCAAGTCACCGCCCTGTCACTGTCACTGCCTCAGCTGCCTCATTGGTCAGACCCCAGGCCGGCAGGCACAGTCCACTCGGACCTGGGGGCATCCAGGAGCTCCGTCAGTGTCTGCGGTCAGTGGCCGCCTGCTCGGCCACGCTGTGTCCCCTACGCACCGCCCCTGCCCGGAGCGTCCAGATCGGGGTGGGGGGCGGGGTCTTCCTGCCCGCCCTCCAGGTGGGGTCTGATCCACTCTGGATTTGAGGCAGCGCAGAGCGGGCAGGGGCCCCTCCCTCGCTAATCCCCCCTTAAGCCCCAGGTGGGGTCTGACCTGCCCCTGGCCCCCGGACCCAACAGGGAGTAAGCCAGGGACACGCCCACATAGTGTGGCCCCGGTGGCTCCGGTGTGTGGCCCCGGGGACGAGCTGGTGCCAGGGTCGGGGATGGGCAGAGGGTGGGACCTACCACCGAGCACTCTGCGGCCGGAGGAATGGCATGGAGGCCGCTCTGCTGCGGCAGGAGGCAGTCCACCCGACGGAGGCCCCGGCTGTGGGTCCCCGTCCCAGCCCCGACACCCACGCGGCCGGGCCTCGGGGCCAGGTCTGGTCCCCCAGGTCCTCGAGCAGCCCCTGCAGCTACCCTGCACGCGGGTGGGGGCGCCCTCTGTCCCAGCCCTGTGGCTCCCACTGCCCGGACCCACGGGCCGGGGTCTCCCCACCTGAGCTGCTTTTGGGGGGGGGGTCCCCTAGCCAGTCCGGCCAAAGCGAAGGGGACATCGGGGCTGGGGGCTGCCCCGCGGGCAGCCGCCCCAGGTGTGCGCCGGGAGCCCCGGGGCCCTGGCACCGGGGAAGCTGACAGAGGGAGGGCGAGGTGAGGATGTCAGTTCATCCCCGCACAAGTAGTGACCTGTCGTGGGGGGGGGGGCACCGAAGAAATATTTGGGATGACGGGCGGCTGGCCCTTTAAGGCCCTGTAACAGGACACCTCCCCACCGGGCGGGCGGGCGGGCCGGGCCTGGCTGGCTCTCTCATCGTCTCAGGGTGGGCCGGTCTCCCCTCTCTCCTCCCACTTCCCGCCAGGCCCAGTTCAATCTGCTGAGCAGCACCATGGACCAGATGGGCAGCCGGGCGGCCTCGGCCAGCCCCTACACCCCGGAGCACGCGGCCAGCGTGCCCACTCACTCGCCGTACGCACAGCCCAGCTCCACCTTCGACGCCATGTCGCCCGCCCCGGTCATCCCCTCCAACGCCGACTACCCCGGCCCCCACCACTTCGACGTCACCTTCCAGCAGTCCAGCACCGCCAAGTCGGCCACCTGGACGGTGAGTCGCGGCCCCTGCCGCACCCAGCGGGCACTGGGGGGCGCGGGGCGGGGGGCAGGCAGGTCCCGGGCTGTCCGGCCGTGCACACAGGGCTCCCCGGGCCCCTGCCACCCCACCGGGAGGAGCGCCGGGCGGGAGGCGTGTCTTGGGCTGGGCAGCCTGCACGTGCCCAGCCCTCGCACGTGTGGCCAGAGCCGGCCAGCCTCCTGCGGGGCCCCGGGGGGGTGGACGTGGCTCCTCAGTGTGGCCCACGGGCAGAGGCTGACAGCCCTTGTCCAGACTGCCCGGCTGGCGCGGGGTGCTCCGATGGGGGCTGCGGTCAGCATCCTGTCCTGGGCGGGCAGGTGGCCTGCGGCTCTGCCGCCGGGACCGTGGGGGCCGCCTCCCCCGGGCTGGTGGCCGGCAGGCGTGGGCTCAGCCCTCGGGCACGTCGCCGGTCTGTCTGTCATCTCCGCGCACGGGCGTGAGACGGGAACCGGGAGGGCCGCAGCTCTGTGGATCCCAGGCCCAGCCCGTGGGGCTCGGGCTGACTCGGGGAGCGCCCGGCGCGCCTGTGGCCGCCGAGGACCAGGCCCTGGGCGCAGTGCCGTTTCCCGGCCAAGGACCCTGAGTCTCGGGGAGGGGTGCGGGTTGGGGGTGGGGTGCTTGTGGGGGAAGCCGGGGGCTGGACTCCGGCTCCGAGTTCCTAACCGCGGAGCCGCACTGGCCCTGCTGAAGCTTGGGGAGCAGGGGCTGCCAGCCGCGCCACCCCCCCGTCGGGGTGATGGCTGCAGGGGTGCAGAGACCTCCAGAGAGACCTCGGGGCACCTCCGGGGGGGGCACCCAGGGTGTTGGTGGGACAGGCAGCCCCCAGACCCTCGGGGCCCCCTGCCTGCCTGCGAAAGGGGAGCAGTGAGCCCTGCCCTGGCTCCCACCTGAGGATAGCTGGCTGTCCCACGGGGCCGCGCCACGGCCCCCAGGGAGCAGCCCACGCTCAGCCCCACCTGCAAATAGGACTCTGAGCAAAAACGTCCATTCAGCGTGACTGTGCTCTGCCCCCAGGGGAGCAGCGAGCAGGTACCCTCAAGTGCTCTGCCTCTTTAAGAACTCACGGCCCTGCTGGCCGGCGGCTGAGGTTTTTCCCACGCTCCTGGGGGGTGGGGAGATGTGGAGGGGGCGGAGCCACCAGTACCCTGAGTCAGGTTCTGCAGAGGGTCAGTCTAGAGCCTGGGCCAGTCCGTGGTGGCCCTGTGGCTGTCTCTGGTCCCTGCTCGGGCTGAGGCCTCCCCCCCTCAGGGGCTGGCCCCTGGCTGAGTTAAGGCCCAGAGGGGCAGGGACCCTCGTGGCCCCTGTCAGCGGCCCCTGTCTTCCTCATCTGTAAGTGACCACCCCCTCGCTCCTTACAGAGAGTGGCAATCCGGTTAAAGGAGGCAGGCCGGGCGGCATGCAGTGTGGCGTGCAGTGCCATCGGGCTGGAGAGTCGTCCTCATTTTTCCCTCTGGCCCGCGGGGCCGCATCTGCAGGGGGGTCCTCTCAGTTCTCTGTTGCCTGCGGGGTCCCGGTCCTCACACCCCAACTCTGAGGTCTGGCTGGGTGATGGGTAGCCAGGTCAGGAGGCCCCCATGGCACCCCCACACTTGCACACCTCTGGCGACGACAGGCTCACTACCACTCCCATTCCACATTCAGACTTGTCTCTCCCTGAACCCTTCCTCCCCCCTGCAAGGGGAAGGGCCGTGGTCCCTGCCCCACTGAATGCTGGTATCAGGGCCTGACGCAGGCACTTTGGGGGCCTGGGCTCCCTTCCCTGCCTCTGCCTGGGGACGCTGGCAGGGTCTCTGCACGTCTGGGGGCTCCAGGAGCCTCGGGTGGCCCGAGCCGGCCCCGGGAGGGACAGGAGCTGCCTCTCTGCCCACTGCCTCCACCCTCTGGGGCCCCCTGCCCACCCCCCCGGCTGCCTCCGCCCCCGCCGCCCGCCACGGGGCCGCGGGGCTTCTGGCTTGGTCGTGGGTCTCTTGGCCAAAGGTGTCCTTGCAGCGGGGTCTGCCCAGACGGGGGCGGCCCACCGGCCACACCGGGGGCTCTGCCCCCACGCGGCACCCCCACCCCGACTCCCGAGCCAGCGGTCCCCGCCGCCCCTCCCCGCCAGGGCCTCCGGAGGCCCTCCACTGGGGCAGCTGAGCCAGGGAGCGGGCCGCGGCTGCCGGGGCCGAGGTGCCCTCCCCGGCCCCCAGGGATGCAGGGGGCGGGGGAGGGACAAACATCGATAATGAGATTTTTGGCACCTCAGGCCCCTGGGAGCAGGCCCCCCGCAGGCCCCGCTCCGGGCCCAGGCAGTCCAGGCAGGACGCGACTGCTAGGCCGCCCGCGGCTCGCGGGTCTGGGGGCTGGCTGCGTGGGCGCTGCCCGGGCTTGCTGCCGGCCGGCGCCGGCGGGTGGTAACTGATAGGTACCTCACATTTTTCTCAAGTACGGTTCCAAGTGTTCTGCCGCCTGTGCTCCTCTCCCCACTCAGGGAACACATCCTCGCCGGCCCCGGGGGGCCGCAGCTGTTAATGGGGTCTTTGGCCTCTGCCCCGCTGGCCCTGCCGGTCACCCTGCTGAGTGGAACGTCTGCCCTGCCGGCTTCCCTGGGCGCTGGGGCCCTCGGTTCTCAGGCGTGCACGTGTGCATGGTGCACACACGGCATACCATGCACACGTGTGGCCATGTGTGTGCACACATGCACTTGGTGGCACAGTGCACACCTGTGTGCACATGTGCATACATGGTGCATACCACACACGTGCACACATACATGCACACACACACTGATGGTGCATGTGTGCGCTGCGGCACACCTGCGCACGTCTGATGCACACACATGATGCACGCCCATGTGCACAAGCACACACATGCAGGCTTCTCCAGTCGCCGCTGCCCGGGGTTCTGACCGGCCCCCACAGGGGCGGGAGGAGAAGGGTCTCAGGCCACAGCTGCGGGAGAAGCGGCTTGGGCTGCGGCTCAAGGGCAGAGCTGACCAGCACCAGGGCCAGGGCCAGGCCAGGCCAGGCTGGAGCCGCCGTCCAGGTGGCTGCGCAGGGGCGGGGGTGGAGCCCCCTGCTCTGAGTGGCGCTGGCCGAGGCCTGTCTGTTTTGGGGTCCACCTGGACTAAGGGGGGACAGACCCCCTGAAAGACTGCGGTTTCGAGCGAAGCCCTCGGGCACTGCTGTCTCTTGGGCCTGGGGACGGTGGAGCCAGGCGTCTGTGCCCCCGTCCCACGCTCTCCCTGGGGCTCCCCCCGGGCTGGCAGTGACGGGGACGGTGGTGACAGGGGTCCCGGGGAGCAGAGAGGGGGAGCAGCACCCGAGATGGGTGTCTGGACGCGGTCCAGCCCAGCTCAGCCCCTGCCCGCTCCCAGGGCTGTGCTGGGTGTCCCGGAGGTTAGGGTAACGGGGCTCCCAGGTCAGGGAGGAGGGCTCAGTGGGGGGTGCTGGGGCCCTAGCCCAGCCTGGGGGCCCCTCTGGTGCTCCGACGGGCCCTGCGGACAGCCTGCAGGGGCAGGCAGCTCGGGGTGCAGTGGTCCTGCACAGTAGGACGGCGCAGCCAGCCCTGGGGGGCCAGTGTGGACACAGCCCCCTCTGGCCTCCAGCTGCCCCCGACCTGGCATGTGTGCACGTATGTCCGTGTGCGTGTGTCCATCCACGGTGCAGCACTGCGCCCCCGGCCCCAGAGGAGCACCCGGAAGGTGGCAGGAGCGCGGCGGCCGCCCGGCCTGGGACTCCTGGGTGGAAGGCGGCTGAGTCAACGCTGATGGGTTCGGGAGGAGGCTCCCCAGCCCCCGGGAGGCTCGCAGGCAGGAGCACAGCCGCGGAGGTGCCCCGACATGACCGCGGTATCAGTTGCGCTATCCTCACGGTTTATGGAATGCAGGAGTGGAATTAATGCCTTTTACTGGCACCGGGAGTAATTAGGGAAGCGTCCTCAGAGTGTTTATTGTGGAGATGAAACGTGGATTATTGGGGGAAACGAGCCGAGCGCGCTCCGGGAGGAGCTGCTGAAATCTCGGGCATTGTCTGAGGCTCTGTGGGCGGGGCGAGCTTCCTGCGGGCGGCCCCGGGCGGGGACCCGAGCCCCGGGGCTCCTCGTGGCCCGAGCTGGGGGCCACCCCGCCTCTCTCCACCCTCTGCCACAGCTGGGGCAGCCCCTGGGCCTGGAGGTCACAGACCTTAGCCTCGGGGCCCTGAGTGGGGCCGGGACATCTCAGCCCCAGTCCCAGGGGGGCGGCCCCACCTCACACCCCTGGTTCTTGCAGGGGGCGCGAGGGACGTCCCCTGGGAGACAGGAGTCAGTCCCAGGGGTTTGGGGCTGTGGGTGGGGTGCCGCACGATCGCGCTCTTACCGAGAACTGTCTGTCTGCTGGGACTTGCTCTGACGTGGAGACAGGCCTGCGGCCCTGGGGGGAGAGGGGGTCAGCAGCGTTGACGGCAGCGTGGCAGAGCACCCCCCACACACACCCCCACACCCTCCCCCCCACAGTGCGGGCCGCGCCCGGAGCGCCCTGGCCACGTGCCCCAGGGAGCAGAGTTCGCCCCACTTTACGGATGAGGAAACTGAGGCTCACGGAGGGCAGGTCCCTGACGGTCACGAGGTCACCGTCAGCAGTGGGTGGGGCGCACCCTGCCCATCGGGACCTGGCTCAGCGGCCACGCCCTCGGCAGGGGTCCCAGGTTTAGAAGCCGGAACTCGGCCCGCCCGGGGCTCTGCTGGGCACTGACAAGGTTCAGCAAAAACCCCAGTCGCACCCCCCTGGAATTAAAGGCTGAGAAATGACCACCCCCACCCGTCCGGGGCACGCAGGCCCCGAGTTCAGGACGGACCCGGGGCTCCCCTCTCGCTGGACGGGGGTCGAGCGTGTTTGAGGCGAAGCGACAGCTCTCACTGCCTCCCGCACGGAGGGCCGGTCCTGACCTGGGTCCTGACCTGGGTCCTGACCTGCAGTCCGAGGGGGGAGGGCCCCCTCGAACCTGCCACAGCTGGCGCCTCGGCCCGGCCTCCCTCCCTCCCCTCCCCGGACACCTGCAGCCCGTCCAGCACCGGCCGTGAGGCCGTCCATCCTGGAAGTGGCAGCACACAGGGGAAGGGCAGGCCCTGCACTGCCTGGACCCGTGGCCGTGGCCAGAGCCGTGCGCCACGGTCAGAGGCTTCGGGACTGTCCTGTGAGCAGAGGGTGCCGCTGACCCCGGCACCTTGCCAGGTGGGCAGACCCTGGAGATCACCACGGCAGACAAGGGCCGGCCAGCTGGGTGGACAGGAGTGGGGTGGCGGTGAGACCCAGGAGCCCCTGCCCCAGCCCCTGCCCGCGGTGGACAGAGCCAGGCCGGCCGCCAGCCCGGTGCAGGGCAGTGTCGTGGGCTGGCCCTCGGCCCAGCTCACCGATCCTTGCCTGAGTGTTTCCCCGCAAGGTCCGAGGCAGGCAGGGCCGCCCGCCCTCCCCGGGAGAGCTTTGCGGGAATGCTGCTCGTGGGCAGTGAGCCGTGTCAGGGCCTGGCTGCAGCTGGGGGTCCCACCGCCACCTGTGCCCTTGGGGTGGGAGGGGTGGCTGCTGGTGAGGGTTCTGGGGCTTCCTGCCAGCCCCGCCCCACCCCCAGGACACAGATCGCATCCTGTCACCCCTTCATCCTCCTGGGGAAGCCTCGGCTACAGGGCTACAGAACGAGGGCCGCTGGAGGCCCCGACCCTGCTGACGGGCGCAGCCCCCGGCTGCCGGCCCCTCCGCAGCCCCCTCTCTCTCCCCTGAGCCAGGCCTCCGCCCCGCCCCGTTGCTGTCCCGGGACCCCCGCCCCCCCCCCACCGGCCTGGGCCCGCGGCCTCTCTCCTGGGTCAGCCCCGCACACACCTGCTTCCCCGCACACAGGTCTCAGCCCAGCACCCGGCCCCGCAGGCGTCATTTGATGGATGGCACAGCCCCGCGGGACGAGCCAGCCAAGGCCGGGTGCCGCGGGCCGTGGGGGCCCCGGGGCTCCTGCTCACCCGTTTGGGGCCTGGCTGGAGGGACCCTTGGGCCAGGCTGCCGGGCACCCCCAGGCCTGCCTCTCCCCAGTGGGCAGCTTCTTGTCCGTCGCCTCCGGGGGCTCCCCCGGAGGCGACGGGGACTGTGGTCACTCAGCCCGTTTCCGCTTCCTGTTCCCCCTCCTCTGGGCTTCCGGCCAGGGGACCCCCACGCCCAGCCTGCATGGGGGTATCAGCAGACACCCCCGTCCCTCCCCCAGCCAGGCGCTCCTGAGGAGTCGCCGTGGCCTCTTAGATCCCACATCTCGACCCGTCCGTTGTCGGGCCAGGCACGGGCCCCACAGGCGTCCACGGGCCGGGGCCGGCTTGGGGCGCGGCCTGTGGGTTTCTCATGCATGTTCTGAGGCAGGACGGGGGGGTCGTCACGGGAGCCCCGCCTCCTCTCTGGGCTGTGACCCCAACTCCTGTCAGAGCTGCCCCTGCTCCCACTAGCCCCCCGCTGGGGGCGGACATGAGGGTGGGCGGCCAGCCCGGGCCGCGCAGGGTGACAGCCCCCAGGAAGAGCCGGAGGGAGTCTCCTGTGGGTGTCGTCACCACCTGCCTGGGCAGGAGGAGAAGGGTCCTCACCCGGGGGGACTGGCAGGGAGCTGGTGGTCTGAGCTCCCTGTGTGTCTTGCGGTGACTCTGTGAACTCACGGGGCCCGAGGGGCCCGCGGGGCAGCCGTGGGGGCTGTCCCGGGGCGAGCGGACCCGGGGCCCGGGGCAAGTCCTCAAAGGGGCCCTGGCCTCCGGGAGGAGAGGAGCCTGGCCCTGAACACGTGTGCACGCACACACACACACATGCACACACACACACACACAAAGCAGATGGAAGCTGGCTCTGAAAAAACCATTTAAAATAGGCGCCCCCCGCCGAGGCCCCGTCTTCCAGAGTCTGTTGTAACAGATTCGCCCGAGCTGGTTAACGGTATTTGCGGTTTGCAAGATGCTACACGTCCCTGGAAAATGACAGACACCTTATTATCACCTCTCCTCTCTCCGCCTGCCCGAGCCTGCCCGCGCCGGGCACCCCGCCGCTGAGCGGTGGGCGCGGGGAAATTAACAGCCACCGCCGCTGCGCCTCCCGCCACCCTCTCGCCCACCGCCCCCGCTCAGCCCCACCAGACCCGGGGCTCCCAGCCAGGCCGGGCCCATGGTGAACTAGGGGGGGCTCGGACGGAGGGGGGAAGTGGGTGGGGGCGGGCAGGGTGGGCAGACCCCAGCGTGTGGCAGGGCGGGCAAGTCTAGACGGCTCTGTGTCAACAGCCGAGGATAAATAAGATTTTATCGGCTCAGAATCTGTTGAAACACATCCATCTAGCGGTTCCGGGGAAGGAGAGGCGGATGGGAGGGCGGGGGAGGGAGTGTCTGCACGTGACCTTTTTTCCAGAACCCGCAAGGACCCAGGGCCGCTTCCTGCCGGGCTCCCTCAGCACCCACCCCTGGCCCGGGCGCTCCCGGAACCCAGGCCTGCCTCTCTGGGCCGCTGCAGGCCCCACCCTGCCCCTGCGCCTGCCCCGTGCTTGGCCTCCCCAGGCTCCCCGACTGCCCCACGGCTGCCTGTGTCCACACCCGGTGCCCCAGGTGTGAGAACAGCAGGCCCCTGGGCCTCTCCCTGCCCGGGTGGGGGCTGGCAGCTGTGAGGGCCCGAGGGCCACTGCAGCCGGCGGCCAGGGCAGCACCGGGCTGGAGACCCACCCTGGGGAGCAGGGCCAGGCCCAAAGCTGGTGGGGGCCTCATGCAGGAAGCGGGGGGGGGGGGGGTGCTGGGCCACCGAGTGCCCAGGTGCGACCTGCCCGCCCCGGCAGGCAGCTCCGAGCTTTCTCGCTCGCAGCCGCGCGGCTTCTGGAGCGGCAGCTTCCCGCCGGGCCGGCAGCACCAGGGACAGCTCCCCACGCCCAGGCCTCCAGGACGCCCCGCTCCCCTCTGACCGCAGGCTGCGCCGCCCGTCCTGCATTTTCCAGGGGCCTCAGCTGGGGATTCCGGACCCCGAGAGCACCGCCGGGCCCCCACACCACCCCACCCGGCATCAGCAGGCAGCCGCCCTGAGTCCCGTCCCCCCTCCTCTCTGCCCGACCGCGGCTGCCCGGGAAGTAGGACCCGGCTTCTGAGGGGCAGCGGCGGGCCGGAGGGGCTCCGAAGTGGCACGCTGCTGTTCAGACCCCAGGGGCCACCGGGGAGCAGCAGGGAGGGTGCTGAGGGCGCCTGCACTCAGCCGCACCCGGGACCCGGCCCAGCCCCGGAGGAGCCGGCTGAGGAGCCCAGGCGGCCTCCCGCCCCGGGCCGCCCTGCAGGAATCGGCCAGCCCGGACCCCGGTCACTCCTGGCCCGCCCACTTCAGCCCACCTGGGACCCGCCTCGGTGGGCGTAAAGACCCCACCCAGGTCGTGCCCCCCCCAGGGTGACAGGACGGATGGGGGCCTGTGGGTGGTCGGCGAGAGGAGACTGGGCACCTATCGGCTCCTGCCCCCCATTCTTGGCCAGGGTCCTCTGCACGCCCATTTCCCCGCTGAGGTGACCTCTCTTAGGGGACACCTCCCCGGGCGGGGGCGGGGCACCTGAGCGGGAAGAGTCCCACGGGCATCCAGTTCCCACCCGTGATGGGTCGAGAGGGGCACGTCCTCAGCAGGCTCCCAATTTGCCAAGGAGGGGAGACCCCGCCCACTTGTCCCTAACCCCCATTGGACCCCGCCCCAGAGATGGCGACACTTCAGGCGTGGAGGGACCGTCACACCGCCCTGCCTGAGGGCTGGGAATGTCCTGGGGACCCTTTGGTCCTGGTCCCAGGGTCTCATCCCCTCCCGGGTCTCCCCCGCCTCGCTTTCCTGCGCTTGGAGGTGCCGAGGGTATGAGGCCCCGGGGGTCCACTCGGTGGCCAGAGAAGCCGCTCTGGCGGCCAGCGGGGGCCTTATGTTTTGGGGTCAGGGTGTCAGGCCCCCCTTTCCTTGGCAAAGAAGGGCCGGGACCTGCTCCCTCCTGGTTCTGCCTGCGACCCCCTCTCTCTGGTCTGGTTCCCCAGCGGCCCCATGGTGAGGTGCGACAGGGCACTCTCTGGGGCCGTGGCTGGGGTCACTCTGGGCTGCTGGGGGGTTTTGGGGGGGCATGGGGGCAGGAAGCACCCTGTGCATCTCGGACCCGGAATGCCCCCCACGGCCCCAGGGAGGGGAGCATGAGAGCCCCGACGGTCCCCAGAACTAGCGGTCGGGAGGTGGGTGGGGACTCCAGCCTCCTGCAGCCTGAGCGGCCGAGAGCCATCCTGGGCCCTCTCGGGGTGCCCCGGACCCCCGGGAGCTGTGTGCTGGGGTGGGATGGCCGCCGCCGATTCTTTCCACAGGGTCCCCGCAGGTGGCGCCTGGGGCTTCATGGTCAGTGACCCGCACACCCCAGTGGCCGAGCCACCACTGTGCATGGTCCCTCGGCCTCTGCAGCCTGGGTCTCCCCCCAGTGGGCGAGCGTCCTGGGCGCCGATGCCAGAGGCCTCACTCTGGGATTTTAAACCGGGGCTCCGCACTGCGAACCGCCGTGGGCGGGCGGCGGGGTGGGCTGAGGTTCACAGCGGGAAGAGCCCAACTGGGGGGGGGAGTACTGGGGGGAGCTGGGGGGGCCTGGCCCCCAGCCCCCACCCTCCAACAGCACCTTCTCCCTCCCGGCCTTTCGGTCCTCGTCCCAAACACGGACGTAAAGGAACCTACCTCCTCGTGGTGAGACCCACACAGGAGGCGTCTCGGCCTGGCTGCTGCTCTGGGCACCGGGGCCGGTGGCTGTCGCTGCGCACACACCAGCCAGAGGCCTGCTGCTCGGGTGCTCCGAGGGCGAGGCGCTCTGCAGGGTGGGGGGGCTGCTGTCGGAGAGCTGGGGCAAGGGGCTCCGGACCTCATGGAGGGATGGCCCGGTGCGCCCGGCACAGGCCGGCCTGCGGCCTCACGCCCACTCCCCGCCCCCCCCCGCCCAGTACTCCCCGCTGCTGAAGAAGCTGTACTGCCAGATCGCCAAGACGTGCCCCATCCAGATCAAGGTGGCCGCCCCGCCGCCCCCGGGCTCGGCCGTGCGTGCCATGCCCGTCTACAAGAAGGCGGAGCACGTGACCGAGGTCGTGAAGCGCTGTCCCAACCACGAGCTCGGCCGGGACTTCAACGAAGGTGAGGCCGCCCAGCCCCGGGCGCCGCCAGCAGGGGCCGTGGGGGCGCTGGCCGTGGGCTCGGCCTCCCCGACACCCCGTCTCTCCCCAGCTTGGCCTGGGGCCTCAGGTGCGGGCGCCAAGCAGAGCGGGGCAGCCTGGCCTCGAGGCTGGGCGGGGACTGGGGGGCAGGCCCGTGGTCCGCGGTCTGCGTGTGGCCCCAGCACCCGGGGGCGGCACCTCCCTGAGGCGGCGCCCCCTCCTGGCAGGACAGCCCGCCCCGGCCAGCCACCTCATCCGCGTGGAGGGCAACAACCTCTCGCAGTACGTGGACGACCCCGTCACGGGCAGGCAGAGCGTCATGGTGCCCTACGAGCCCCCACAGGTAGGCCTGGCGGGGACGGGGGGGTCAGGGCCCTCGGGGGACCCCCTCGTCTTCCCTCCCCTCGAGGCCCCGCCCCTGCCTCACCCTTGCCCTCGGGTCCTCTCCGGGCTCTGGCTCCCCATCAGCAGCGGAAGGGGGCTGACGACCTCTGAACTCAGCCCCCACCTGTCCCCTCCTCCCACCGGTCTGTTCCCACTCCCGGGACTCGAGGGGGGAGGGGCCGAGGCCCCGAGGACTGGAGTTCCAGGTGGGGGGTTGGCGGGGTGGGGGAGAGGCTGACAGTCAGGGGCGGGGCCTGGAGGCGAGGGGTAACTGGTGCACGTGGTGGGGGGCCATGCCAGAGGTAGGCACAGTGGAGAGACCCTGGGAGGTCCGCCCTTGACCTGAGGGCGGGGCAGGCCTGGGGGTGCAGCTGGGGGCAGAGGCAGGGGGGTGCCCAGGGTGAGGGTGGCGTGGGGGCCAGGAAAGGGGGGGGTGCTCAGCAAGCCCTCCCCTCTCCTCCGCCTGGTTCTGAAACCACCCCCTGGACTCCCAAAGCTGGGCCCGGCTCCCCAGGACCCCTGCGCGGAAGACCAGCCCTTACCCACCGGAGGTGTGGGACCCCCCTACCCTGTCCTCCCTCCCCCTGCATCCAGGCCCACCCTCACCAGCCTGGACAGCCAGGAAAGCAGGGCTCTTCCGCCCCCTGCTGGCTGTTCTGTGAAAGGCAAGGGTTTCCTGAGCTAGTGAGGGGCTTTTCCATCCCGACTTGGGGAGACCGTGACAACCGCCTGTTTTGCGGTCCCACGTGGTCAGGAGCCCTCCACGCACCCCTGGGAAACGGGTGGGTGCGGGGCTGGGGTCGAGCAGGGCAGGACCCCTCCCGCCCAGGAGAAACCACGCTGGGTGGACCCCCACCCGCGTCCACTCAACAAGAGCCCTGGACTCCGCCTCCCACCTGCGGCAGGGCAGCTGCCCCGGTAACCGGACCGCCTGCGCAGCCGCCTCCCGGGGGCAGGGGCCGGTCTGAGCTCGCTGGGCACCCAGGACCCTCGCGGCCTTGAGGCTCGGTGTCCTGCGTGTGTGGACAGACGCACAGGGGTCGACAGACGGACACACAGATGGATGGGGGACGGATGGGTGACAGATGGGTGGGCGGGCGGGTGGGTGGAGAGTGGGCGATGACGAAGGACCACCGAGCACAGCCCAGCCCCCCAAGCCCACCCAGAGGCAGCACCCGATGTAAGAGACCCGGGCTTGGACGGTCAGGAGCCCCGCCCCCTCCAGCGGGGGCCGGCCCACACGCAGACACCACCGCCCTCCCCCACGCCCCCATGCAGGTGGGGACGGAGTTCACCACCATCCTCTACAACTTCATGTGCAACAGCAGCTGCGTGGGGGGCATGAACCGCCGGCCCATCCTCATCATCATCACCCTGGAGACCCGGGAGTGAGTCCGCGGTTCGAGTGAGGGGTGGGGGGCGGGGACTCGGGTGGGGACATGGTGTGGGGACAGGGGGACCGAGGGCCAGGAGCGGTGCGGCCCTGGGGGGTGGGGGGAGGGGGGGCCTGCCAGGCGAGCTGCGGGGAGGGTGGGGCCTCCTCGGGCTACAGCGGCCGCCAGAGCAGCGCTGGGCCGTGGGGGGGCCGGGGAGCTGGGGTCCGGGGGCAGCCGGGCACTCTGGCCCGATCCCTTGTTGTGTCACAGCCGGAGGTGGGGAGGGCGGGCAGGGCCGGGGGTGCCGGAGGCTCAGGGTTCCGGCTGTGCTCCCGGACAGCGGGCAGGTGCTGGGCCGCCGGTCCTTCGAGGGCCGCATCTGCGCCTGTCCCGGCCGAGACCGCAAGGCGGACGAGGACCACTACCGCGAGCAGCAGGCCCTGAACGAGAGCGCGGCCAAGAGCGGGGCCCCCAGCAAGCGCGGTGAGAGCCCGGGCGCGGCCGGCGGGCGGGCGGCCCCGGAGGGTCGGTGCCGGCCACCCTGCAGGACGCGGGCGAAACGCTGGCGGGGCAGAGAGGCCGCCTCGCCCGCGTGGCCGCCCCTGGGTGCGCTCCCTGCGGCACGGGGACCGCCGGGCCTCTTGCTGGCGCACCGGGGGCGGGGGGCGCCCGGCGGCTGTGTCTGCGTCGCCCCGCCCCCTCCCTGCGGCTCACGCGGCCTTTCCCGCCCGGCCCTGCAGCCTTCAAGCAGAGCCCCCCCGCCGTCCCCGCCCTGGGCACCGGCGTGAAGAAGCGGCGGCTCGGGGACGAGGACACGTACTACATGCACGTGAGCGTCCCGGTCCGCGGGGCCCCGGCGGGCACCACCAGCGGCGGGCGGGGGCCGCCCGTCCCACCCCGAGACCCGAGACTCGAGACCCCGGGCTCTGCGGGGGCAGGTCCCCGGAGGGAGAGCCGGGCCCCGACGGGGCCAGTCGGCAGGGAGGCCGGGGTGCGCCGAGTCAGGGGCTCCGCACGCCGCCGCTCGGAGTTCACACGCGTGCGGGACGACGCAGGTCCTGGGGGGCGGGGGCGGGGCGGGGATCCCGAACCCCACTTCCGGGGTCCCGCAGGCCGCCGCCCTGTCCCGGGGTGTGCCCTCTGCCGCCGGCGGGCCAAACCGCTGCGTGCGTGGCCTGGACTGGGTTTCCATTACGTGACCTTTTATATTTGAGTCAGAATGAGCACTTTGTTCTAAAACCCCCTATTTGTTGAGTTTCTTGTCCCCGAACCCCGAGTGTGCTGAGTGCTGGGGAGCGGGGGAAGGCGGGGGAGGGGCAGGCTCAGGGCCTGGAAGGGGTGGGCGCGGTCTGGCGGCCAGGGGACACCTGTCCCCCGCTCTGGGGAAGGGGGCAAGAAGGGGCCTGCGGTGCCAGGGAACCCGCGAGGCTGTGGGCCGAGGGTCCCCCGAGGCTGCCACCGGGGGTCCTGGGGTCGAGGGGAGACGCAGGTGCCCCCGGGCAGCGGTCCCCCTCCCTCTGCTCAGGTGCGGGGCCGCGAGAACTTCGAGATCCTGATGAAGGTCAAGGAGAGCCTGGAGCTGATGGAGCTGGTGCCTCCACAGCTGGTGGACTCCTACCGGCAGCAGCAGCAGCAGCAGCTCCTCCAGAGGCCGTGAGTGCCGCCCCCGCGCACGGGACACGGGGCGCACGGGACACGGGGCGCACGGGACACGGGGCCCCGTGTGGCGTCCCCTCCTCCGGGAAGCCTTCCTTGACCGCAGTGGTCACGGCCATCGCTATGACTTTGTCTCCCACCCAGGGGTTCCCCTAAACGTCTCCCAAGGACAGGACAAGGAGGGGAGGTCGGAGCCAGGGGGCCCGCTGTGGCATGAGTCCCCGAGAGCAGGCTGGGGGGCCGCAGCCCAGGCAGAGAGGCTGGGTGAGGGGGTGGTGGTGCTCTGACACCTCAGCTCAGGGTCAGGGTCCCCACCCGCGGCGGCAGGGGCCCATGTGGAGGTGGCTGGTGGGCAGGAAGCTGCCTGGGCCCTCACCAACACGGCTGTCGCTGTCCGAGCAGGGGCCACCTGCAGCCGCCGTCCTACGGGCCGGTCCTCTCGCCCATGAACAAGGTGCACGGGGGCGTCAACAAGCTGCCCTCTGTCAACCAGCTGGTGGGCCAGCCGCCCCCGCACAGCTCGGCGGCCGGGCCCAACCTGGGGCCTATGGGTGAGTCGCCGTGGGGACCAGGGTGGGTGGGGGAGGCCCGGATGCTGGGCCCGGGTCCAGACACAGCTGCCTGCTCGAGACCCGCATGAGCGGCCCTTGGGGGTGCCTCCCTCCCTCCGGCAGCCCTGGCCCCCCCACGGCGGCAAGCACGGCCCAGGAGGGCCCCTCTGCCACTCCCGCTCCCCCGGGGCTGTGCCTTGCCTCCGACAGTCCCGCCCGACTCTTGGCAGGCCCGGGGATACTGCCCAACCACGGCCACGCCCTGCCGGCCAACGGAGAGATCAACGGCAGCCACGGCTCCCAGCCCCTGGTCCCGGGGTCCCACTGCACCCCACCTCCCCCCTACCACGCCGACCCCAGCCTGGTCAGGTATGTGGGCCGCGGCCAGGCCCTGCCCCTCACCCACTGACCTCGGCCCCTGTGTGGCTCCTGGTCCCCAGGCCGGAGGCTGGGGGCGGCCTCTGCCAGCTGCCCCACGCTTTGGTCACTCTGCTGCCCCCTGGGGGCAGACAGAGGCAGAGAAAGTGCCAGAAGGGGGTGCGCGGCCGATGCTGGGAGGCGGGGGAGCACGAAAGCCGGGGTCCCTTGGCGGCTGCGCTGTGGTGGCCTTGTGGGCAGGGGTGGCCAGGAGTCACCCTTCGGGATGCAGAGCCCCCCCCACCACCAGGCCGCCCGGCCGCTCCTCAGATGTGGGTGCCGTTTCATTGGGTGAACTCTCCTGCAGTTTTTTAACAGGACTGGGGTGTCCGAACTGCATCGAGCACTTCACCTCCCAGGGGCTGCAGAGCGTCTACCACCTGCAGAACCTGACCATGGAGGTACCGTCCCCGCCCCGCCCCCACCCGGCCGGAGGGGCCCTGTCCCTGCGCAGGGGGCTCCCTCTCCTCTTTCTGGGGTGGCTCTCGGGTGCTTTCCTGTTCTCGAGGCTTGGGGAGGTGGCTGTGACCTTTGGGAAACCCTTCCTCCCAAGCCCACCCACGTCCCCACCTCTGGCTTTTGTGCCAAAATCCCTCCTGAGGGTGGGCAAGTCCGGCTGCACGGCCTGGAGGGGTGTGTCCAGATCAGCTGCACAGGGTGGGTGCAGCCTCCCATCCTTGGAGCCCCTCCGAGCTGCTTTATTGCCCCCCCTCCCGTCGAGTTCCAGGACCAAGACGGACGGTGGCCCGGCACCTCCGGGTGTCCCTGGCCTCCTTAGTGGTCCTGGGGGCTCCGCAGGAGCGGGTGGTCCCCCAGCCAGGTGAGCGGTGGGAGAGGAGGGGGCGGGGCCTCCGGCTCCACCTTTAACGGCGCCGCGGGGCGCCTGCGCTTCCGCAGGATCTCGGGGCCCTGAAGATCCCGGACCAGTACCGGATGACCATCTGGAGGGGCCTGCAGGACCTGAAGCAGGGCCACGACTGCGGCGCTCAGCAGCTGATCCGCTCCAGCAGCAACGCCGCCACCATCTCCATCGGCAGCTCCGGGGAGCTGCAGCGGCAGCGCGTGATGGAGGCCGTGCACTTCCGCGTGCGCCACACCATCACCATCCCCAACCGCGGCGTCCCGGGCGGCGCGGCGGGCGCGGGCCCGGACGAGTGGGCGGACTTTGGCTTTGACCTCCCGGACTGCAAGTCCCGCAGACAGTCCATCAAGGAGGAGTTCACGGAGGGGGAGGCCAACTGACCGCGGAGGGCGCACGAGAGCGCGGGGAGCCGCGCCTGCGCCCCTGCAGGCTGGGAGGACGCAGGGGGGTGCGGGGAGCCGCGCCTGCGCCCCTGCGGGTTGCAGCCAGAGAAGCCTGGCTTTACCTCTTCCTTTTTGTCAAAAACTGCCCCTGGGGCTGTGCCCCGGAAAGGTCAAGTCCAGCCTCCGCGGCCAGAGAGGCCGTGCTGGGAGTCCGGAGCTTGCGCGCAGAGCGTGCGCGGAGGGCCAGCGTCGCCGGACCCGCCGGCCGGCCCTTCTCCTCCCTGTCTCCTCTTCCTCCCTCCGGGACCCTGCTGCTCAGGCGAGAGCCTTGGGAATAACAGGACGGCCTCTGCTGAGGGACTGCCAAATAGTGTTCTTCGATGTCTTCTCATCTGGGTAGCGACGGGCAGCTTGGGGACTGTGTCCGGAACGTGTATTCCCGGGGCCGTGCCCCAGACAGGCTCTGTCCACGGCTGGGCCCTCGGCTGGTCTGGAGGGCCAGCCCGTCCCTCACACACTTGATAACCAGTCCCACCCCCAGGGCAGCTGCCCGCAGCCTCCTGGAGAAGACTGGGAGGAGGGCGTTGCCAAATACTCGGCCCCTCCTTGCGGGCTTCTGGGCGGTGCCTAGCCGCTAAGGCCCCTGCCGGCATCGCTGGCCACTCACCGCTGCTTGGCGACCCTCTCAGTACACATGCGCAGTGAGGTCCTTCAAAGGGCAGGAAGTTGTTGGTATTTGATAAAACAATACCCTTTCCTACATGGCGGGTCAGTTTTTTTAAAAAAAACAAACATCGTTAACATTCCCTTCAGGATTCCACCTAGGGGTGTCCCAGGTCTGTGGAAACAAACGGCTACGAAAGCTGGGGGGCACACCAGGAGGCGGCCCTGGTGTGGCCGGGTGGGATGAGACCCCCATTGAGAGGCCGCCCTGGGAGGGCGCTGGGTGGGCTGGGAGACTCTCCTGTTGAGACAGCACCCTCGTCCCCGCGGGGACCCTTGTAAGTGGGGGAGGGGCCACGGGAGAGCCCCTCCCCAGGGGAGGTGGCCGTGGGCGGGAGGGTCGGCCTCTGGGCCTCAGAGACTGGCTGTGTGCTGGGAGGGGCCTCCTGCCCCCCAGGGGGCTGCACTGAGGCAGGGGGTGGGGTCTGGCCGCTGGGAGGGACCCCAAGGCACCTGTAGGCTTGGCAGAGGCAGCTTCCGCGTGCCCGTCTGATGGGGCCCTTAGGAGCCCGGCTGCCCGGCAGTGACCAGAAGGCCACAGGGAATGTGGGTGGCAGGGGTGACGCAGGCGGGGTGGGGGTCCTCCCCACAGTGGGTGCCGAGACACCGCCCCGAGGGCAGGCTGCCAGGCATTCCCAGTCAGCCGTGCTGTGCTTTCGCCGGGGGCCCCATGCATTGGCCCCTCAAGTCTGGGTGCTCCTCGCTGCCACCCCAGGAGCAGGGGAGGCCCCCAGGCCAGGGGAAGGTGGACACAGGGTCTGGAGTGCCCCTGGGGTTTGTCGGTGGTAGGAGAGCCCCCGACCTTGACCCCAGAAGGGGCCCTTCTGTGTGGAGCCGGCGAGGGCGTGCCCAGGAGCTGAGCTCCGGCCCTCTCCTTGTTGAGGGGGGAGTGGGGGTTCAAATGCCAATTTGTTACAGTTCCAGGCCCTTGGGAAGGCCACTGGGGGGTGATACTGAGCGAAGGTTGACCTCCAGGGCTCAGAGCTGTCCTGACGGGAGTGACCCAGGCCGGAGCCACCCCACCCCAAGCCCCCAGCAGGGTCGTCTGCAGAGCAGGACTGCAGCGCGGGAGGTTGCCCGCGAAAACATCGCGAGTCCCGACGAGTCTAACAGCAGCGCTCTGCTGTGACCCCAGGAGCGGATTCCCTCCATGTGCGCTCCCCAGGGACCACGTATCAGGGTGGCCAGAGCCAGGAGCCTCTGGGCCACAGAACCAGCTGGTCCCGGCTGGCACCGGGCTTTGCCAGTGAGTGGCGAGCGCTCCCCTTGGGCGGAGACAGGGGTGGGGGGCTGCTGTCGCCCCAGCATGCAACATGCCCAGAGCTCCGCCCCAAGGCTGAAGGTCAGTCACGACCAAAGACTCAGGCCGCAGGCTCCCGGTGGGGGGGGGGAAGGTTGGGCTGGGCGCGGCGCCTCCCCGTCTTGCATGCACAAGGCCCAAGGTACCTGCTCCGGCCTTTTCCCAGATGGAGAAACTGAGGCAGGGAGGGCCTTCTGACGGCAAAGAGGTGGGAGGGCCACTACTCATCCGGGCGTGAGGACACCTGCCTGCTGACAGCCAGACTGACGCATGCCCAGGCCCCCCAGAAAGGTTCCTGCCAGTGAACCAGTGCTTGAGGTTCCCCTGGCCGCTCATGACCGGCTTTGGCTGGGCCCCCCCCGCCGTGGGCCGTGGGACCGGGCTGCCGGGGATCCGCCACTTCACACGGGTTTGCGTGGCCCCCCGACCCAGGCCCCTGACATGGATAGGGACATCACGTGTAACCTGTCTCTCAGAACATGTCACACCCGCCCGGGCTTCTCTGTTGAGGTCTGCCGACGCTCTGTGATGCTTTGAAGTTCGGGGAAACCCGCCCGTCTGTGATGTGACGACCTTCCACCAGTGTTAATGTTTCCGTGTTCACTTCTCGGGGTTCTGTCGTCTTGGGGAAATGTGTTATTTTTTTAGCTGTTTTGGTGGGGATTTTCATTTTTGTAATGTAATAAAGCACATGTCCCGGTGGCTGTCCCCTGAGTCGGTCAGACATGAAGACACATGGGCTCCCACGGGGCCGGGGGGACCGCAGCGCCCACGCTGGCCTGGGCCACCCCCTTTGGGTTCCCTGTGTTGTCAGTGAGGGGACGGACCCCGGCCACCCCCTCCCCCGCTGTGGGTGAGGGCTGTCCTTCCCCAGCAGAGCCGGCTAACCTCCGGGGACTGACCTTGGCCTTGGCGTGGCCATCCGTGCCTCCAGGGGTTCGGGCCATAACCCTCTTCCGAGCCCCTGAGGCCCCCTAGAAAGGCTTCCTGTGCTGGACGAAGGTCACAGAGCCCTCCGCGCTGGGAGGAGTCCAGCTTTCCTGTCAACTCGGGAAAACCAAGGGGGCGGGGCTTCCGGCTCCCACTGGCCCTCCCCCACAGCTGCCTCTGTCCCTAGGGCCCACTCTGGGGGGCTGAGCCCGATGTGCCCTCCCCACCCCCCGTCATGGTGACAGGAACCCAAATCACACCTGTGCCAATGGCTCAGAACTGGACAGGAATCAAGGACTTGGAAAGTTCAGCCAGAAAGGCACCACCACGTACAACACAGAAAACAGCGTCCTTAAACATGCCCTCGAGGGGCCAGTGTGGCGAGTTGGTTGGACTGTTGTGACCCGAAAGGTCACCGGTTTGATTCCCGGTCAGGGCACACGCCTGGGTTGGCGGCCTGTCAATTCTCTCCCCCTTTCTCCCCGCCGCCTCCTCTCCGTAGAGTCAACACAAGGACATTCTACTGCCTTCAGGGGAGTGACCTCGGTGATGCTGGAGTCCCAGGGCGACCTCGGCATCTCCAGCAAAACGTGTGTAAAGGCAGGGTGCGGGAGATGCGGACAGCTGTTTCCAAATGCCTAGCAGCACCTCCGCCGGGGGTGCTGTGCAGCCCTGCAGGACCCGGGGCCGGGGGGCACTGCCGCCTGGCCGGACCGCCCCAGCACGTCACCGCCAGGGGGAGGGGACGAGGCCCGCCTCTGGGAGGCCTCACGCCCCTCGGGGGGAGCAGCATCTCGTCCTGTCCCCAGACGCCCAGAGAGAAAGGCCGTACTTAGGCCGGAACAAAAGTGGTTTGTTAATAGGCAGCATTTTATCGTACTTCTTGAGGAATGGTGCTGCGTAATGTTCTTGTGAAAAATAGGTTCAAGAAAAAATTATTTGTCTTTGAAACGTTGTAGTGGCCTGAAGGCCCAGCCACCCCTGCGGCCTGCTCCGCACACGCGTGGCACCCGCCCACCGACCCCACCTCCCGCCCTGCCCGCCATGCGGGGAGAGCCGCAGGTCCAGGCCCCGCCCCCCGCCTGAGTTCCTCCAAGGACCTCCGAGGGAGGGGCGCCCCCCTCACCAGGCCGAGCTCTGCCCCCTGGCTCTGATGTGAGCCCGGGACCCTGCTCCAGCGTTAAAGACTCAGGCTGGGTTTCCCATGGCTCCCCTCCCTGGGTCCCCACGACGGCAGCGTCACTGAGGGTCCGTCTCTCGGTAACAGGCACATGGGGTGGGCCAGCAGAGCTCAGGCAGAGTCCGGGCTTCCGGCTCTTCACGGTTCTTCGGCCTTGACCAGAGGCCGCAATGGCCGTGAGTCCCGGACCACCTGCTCCTTAGAACCGGGGAGGTTCTCTCCTTGCACAGAGAGAGTGTTTACAGGTTCAGGGCAAAACCGAGCCCCCAGCCGGAGCCAGAGACATCACCCCTGTGGTGGGGGCTGTGGAGGCCACAGGCCTTGGGGGCTGGTCCTGGGGGGGCGACAGAGGTGGCCCAACCCCTTCCAACCCCGGCCAGCGCGACTGCCTGCTGTCGTCCAGCCTCCCCCACCACCCTCTCTGAGGACGCAGGACACTCCCCGGCTGCCAGGAATTTGGAAGGACCCGTCGCTCTGCCACACTGGGGCCAGCGGCGTCTCCTACACTTCGCCCAAGGGGGCAGCAGCAGCCAGCTCTGGAGACACACCCACCGGCTGCAGCTGGAGCACGCACCGTGCAGGTGACACTCACGCAACTCAGACACCGGAAGGCACGTCCACGGCACTGCCGCCAACCCGAGGGGAAGTGATGTTCTCGGGCCAGTCGGCACGTCCAGTTCTTCCTCGGAACTTCCCCGGCCTCTACGGGGCCCGAGAAAGTCTCGGGAGAGCTCTCCTCTGCCTGCCCGCCCGCCGGCAGTGCCCAGCCTGGGTCTGGGGGCCCAGGGAGACGCCGGCGGCAACTGCCCAGCGGGGGAGCCCGGAGAAGCGCGGATGGAGGCGGCCGGTGCCAGACGCACCTGCGGGGGCAGGGACTGGGCACGCAGCCTGTGTGGCCGTGACTCGGAATGGGGGACCATGACACGCTGCGTCAAGGCCTGGTTCAACCCCGTGCCGCGGTGCGCCGTGACCGCAGGGGTCTGAAACGGCACCTGGCATAGAGGAGGTCGCCTTGAGGAAGGCGACGTCCACAGAAGGCACGGCCGTCATCAAGCGTGGAGACCTCGGCTCTCGCCAGGAAAGTCGGAGTGAGTCGGGAGTCGGGAAGGAGCCACTCTGTGCCCTCTGCACGCCGGGCACCGGGGAGCGGGAGAGCAGTGGCAGGCTGTGACCCACGGAGGCAGGAGGGCCGGCCGGCCCCCAGACGCGCAGGGGAGCCCAGCCGGGGCGAGCTAAGTGCCCACTGTCCGAGTGGTGATGCCCCCCCTAGGCTCAGGAGACGGGTGTGGGCACCAAGTGTGGACAGGGGCGGCCAGCTGCGCTGGCTGATGGGAGGGGCAAGGGTCTGGTGGGATCGTCCTGGACTTCCAGGGGCTATGTCCCCTCCACCTGGACACCCGGGGACTGGGACCTGAGGGGGGAGGTGCCCGGAAAGACGGGGTGGGGGGTAGGGTGACATGCGCTGGCAGCACCCTGCAGGGCAGAGCAGGAGCCCAGCTGCAGAGCTGATGACTGACGGTGGAGGGGGCGGGGCTTGGATTGGGGGGTGGGGTCAGCATGCCGGGTCACCAGGA